GCTTACAATGAAGGAAATGACAATTATGATACCAACGTGACTTTAATAGGTAGGATTTTTTTCACACACACACAATGAGTGATAGTTAATTTATTAATTTAGGAAAAATATCTACAAGTCGAAATTATTTTAGATATAATGCATGCTGAATATCCTTATGCTTCTGTGAATGCACAACAGAAATTAGATTTTTTTAGAGTCTTGAAATGTGTCAAATAAATGAATAAGTTTATTATTTGCTCTATATTAACATACTTAAAAATGTATTATAAATCCAGCATAACTAATTGTTATTTAAAGTGAGTTTTCAGGAAAAGTGTTTCAGTTTTAAAAAATCTCCCTCCTGTTTTTCTCTCTGAATATGAAGTTTCTCCGACTGTTTCTGCCACGATGGAGCAAAGGAACAACACGGTGGTGGCAGTGTGCAGAGCTGAAGGAGGAAATCCTGCTGCCAACATCAGCTGGAGTTTTACAGGAAACTCAGAGCCTGAGACATCGCTGTCTGACTCAGATGGATTAGTTACAGTAGAGAGCGTTTTGAAGATCCCTGCTGGCATGAGTCGAGAAAACCTGAGCTGTATCATCCAGCACCCRTCTTGGGATCAAGAGAAGATGGTTATTGTAAAAGCTGAAAAAGGTCAGACTTCTGCAGACTGGACAGAGCTGGGTAAAAAGAATCAGTTTGTTTTGTTTTTTGAATTAGTCTTGACAAGAAGTTTTTTTCTTCATATATATGATTTAATAGATTTATTGTTTTACTTGTGTTTGATGCAGTTTTGTAAAATTTCCTCTTGCCTTGTGGAAATACTGAGACCTTATAGATATAAAAAAACAGACTGCTTTGAACAATAAGTTACATAAAAAATGAAAAGTAAAATGAATACAAATGAAACAATTTAAAAACTAAAATCAAGTATGTTTGAAAAGGAACAGCTGGGTTCAGGGTGACAGCAGGTTAACGGGATAGTTCAAATGTTTTCGTTTTAGTTGTCAGTATTTTACCTGCAGTAGATAAAAAAAGATCTTTGGAGGATCAGGGAGACATTCTCATCAAGAGGCTATGTTTCGACACATTTTGGTTATTTTTTAGAACATCTTAACAATTTTAACTTTAAAACTTTATTGTGGTTGTAGTAAATGTTGTGTTATTATTTTTTACACAATGATTTCTTTACATGAAATGGCTATTCTGACCAGTAATATTTATTATTTCCCCCTTCAACAAGTGTCTCGCATAAAAACATTTTGTAGCTATCAAAATATTCCATTTTAGCACAACTAGGTGACTAATAACTGACTGAGTTATAAAGGTTTTCAAAGAACAATCATTTGAACTACACTTATAGTTTTAGATTAATCGAAATATAATCATTTGCTTGTGTTTTTGGTGTGAACTTCTTTCTGATTCCCATATTGAACTTGTTCACTTTAAACAAAACAATCTTTGATATTTCTTTAATACTTTTTTTCTTTAAATAAAACACTTTGATTTTTTTATTGCAGATGTTCAATGGCATTGGATCTTTATACCTGTCATTGGGGTGGTTGTTGTACTTCTGGCAGGCATCTCAACATTTGCACTAAAAAAATTTAAACTGCTAAGGTGAGTAGATTCGTTGAATTTAGACTGAAGTAAAAAGGTTTTGYTGAAAACATGTTTGAGTAGTGACTGAGTTTTCATTTTCACCAGACGTCAACAGTCAGACACCCTAGACAAATCACCACGGGTGAGTGGGTTGTTCCACATTCAATGCGTTGCTGCACATTGTGTAACTTCATAACACCCATCTATATTGTTTTTCAGATGGAGGATGTGGAGGAAGTGGAGCCCTATGCTAGCTATGTTCAACGTGTGAACTCAATCTACAACTAAGCTGCAGATACGTTTGCACATTATAAAAAAATCCTGCACATGCAAAAGTCACACGCTTAAAAGCACATCTCGGGACGTTGTGAGAAACTGAAGGCTGTGAAACAAAGAAACGGTGAAGTAGTACTGGGGCAGCAGAATGAGATCAAAGGTTTCCGATGAGAGAGGGAAGCCTCTCAGTTCAGACCTAACAAACTGCACAGACTGWTGGAACAGGGGATGTACACGTTGTCACACTTCTGCTGCCATTCACAGCAAATRCTGCCCACTCCTCAATGAGTGGGTCTAATGGAGAACATTGATTATTACTACAAATGCACAAAAAGAAAAAAAATCCATTGAGGTGGAAAATACAGTACTGCAAGTCTGATGCTGGACCACGACTACAGACTTTGGAGATTTTCTGTAACTGTATATAATTATAATTATTTATCAAAGAGATGTACAGTGAAATAGACTCTTATTTAGAAGAGACTCAGCCTCACTGAAGCAAATAGCTCATGTATTTCAGAGTTGCCGATCAGGTAAATATTCTGTAAAAATTGTGTATTTAACTTAATAAATTATATGCTGAATAAAATACACTCAAACAATGGATTTTTTGTAACTGTACTAACAATCTGTAAAGACAGCAC